CCATACTGACCAGACTAAGAGAGCACCTCCTATCACCATCCGATCCTATTATCATTGACCACCAATTCGGCTTCAGAGCCAAACACTCCTGCCCCCAACAGATCCATCGCATAGTGGAGCACGCCCTAAGCGGCTTCCAACTTAATAAATATAAAACTATTGCAGTCTTCTTCGACGTCGCCAAAGCCTTCGACAAGGTTTGGCACGACGGATTAATCTTTAAATTATATCAATTAGAATTACCTGACCGCCTAGTTAGGTTAGTAGCCTCTTTTCTCTCAAACCGCACCTTCCGCTATAGATACGAAGGTTCACTATCAACGCCCCGCCCACTACGAGCCGGTGTACCGCAGGGGTCCGCTCTCTCCCCCCTGCTATACACAGCGTACACCAATGACATCCCTCAGACCAAGGGTGTCGAGCTCGCTCTCTTCGCGGACGACACGGCCCTCTACTCTAGGGGAGCCAGTACCAATCAAATCATAGCCAAGCTCCAACCGGCAATCACAACACTTGGGAATTGGTTCCGCGATTGGAGAATCGACGTAAATCCGGACAAAAGTTCGGCCATTTGCTTCGATCCCAAGCGCCGCACCAAAACCATACAACACGGTGCGCGGTCTCTGCGAATGCAAGGCATAGCAATACCGTGGCACCGCACAGTCAAATACCTAGGGATCACACTAGACAAAAAACTCACCTTCCGTGCACACATCACACGCGTAGTCGCGAACGCGCGCTTTTATATGAGCCGCCTCCACCCGATGCTCGGTAAATACAGCAAAATGTCACTTCGTAACAAGCGAACGCTTTACAAAGTTTGCATACGCCCGGTCCTCACTTACGCGTCACCAGTGTTTGCACACGCGGACGAAGCGATTTTGAACAAACTTCAAGTGCTTCAAAATCGCTTCTGCCGCATAGCCACAGGGGCCCCGTGGTACGTCCGCAACGCGGACCTCCACAGGGACCTTCAACTCGACACAATTCAAACACACCTCACAGAGTGCTCGGAACGGTTCTTCAAAGCTGCAGAAGAGCACTCTAACACACTCATTAGATCGGCGTCGGGATACGCTCCACACACTCCATCTCGATTCAGGCCCCGCAGGCCCAAACACGCACTCACAGCCACACACAATAAACTCACGCGCGATCTCGCGGCCCTCTTGGCCGCTGAGGATCCAACACCCGCGATGAGTCCCCCCCGCCCCCCCGACACAGAGAGGTTCGATTCCTCTCAGTCCCCTCCCGTTTCAAGTGCACATCTGAGTGCACTTGTCCTCTAAGCGCATTTTGCGTTATTTTAAACTATGCACTAGTTTAAACTAACGCAGCGCCGCATCATCCCCCTCTCGGGGGGTGATCGCTTCAGATGAAGCTTGTAAGGCCCTTCTGGCCATAAGCATGAATAAAGGGTGTTTTTTAGTCAGTAGGAGTCTGACATAACCTTACAGCCGGCTGTAGGGTATCCATGAGGATTTCTCACCCTCTCCCCCGCCTGGGAGGAAACAAAAAAAAAAAAAAAAAAAACGCGCAGAGGCAGTTGAGTTTCAACAGCGATTTCGGAGCGAATCCAAAGGCGATCAAAGTGCAACAAAAGTGTTCAAGTGCGATTGTTTAGAAATTTGTATAGTGAAATACAGTGTTTAGTGAGTGTTTTGTAATTAACATTGTGTGTTAATTGTGTGAACTGTGTGGTGAATAAAGAACTGTCAAGCGTGAACTGGCATATAATTTCGAACCCCATCCCGACACGTAACAATATTGAATAGAAGCTGCAAGTGGAACTGTCAATACTGAACCCGAAGTGTACTTATTTTTTAATTAAGTAGGTATACATATAATTCAAATTCAGACTCAAACTAGGTATATATTAATTTAATATAATAAACATATACATTGCGAAGAGATGGCGCTGCCTTGCAGCTTAAGGCTAGGAAAATTTCGACGCGGCTAATAGGGCCGTGGTAGCATAATGGTCAGTGCATTCGCCCGGATAGCGAAGGATGCGGGTTCGACTCCCGTCCGCTGCCTGGTCAGCGTGGATTTTTTTCTAGTAAACTTTTCTTTAGATTTAAACATAACATAACATAGCAGTTAAATGCTTAAAAAATAAATAAAATCTTAATATAATAAAACTGTAAATCTGATAAAGAAACGTATCAGTCAAAAATCCATACTTATTAATGTTAGTATTGAAATCGAGAGAGAGCGAACTTTTTTTAATTAGATTAAGCATTTATTAAAATTATGAAACTACACAATTTAATGTTAAAAAAGTTGAACTACATATATAAACGGAAACATAAACCTTAAATAAAATGTAGGTGCTTTTCATTATAAATAAAATATTGTTCATTAATTAAAATCTGATAGGTATAACAGTGCCTTTATGATGTGATAGTAAAAAAATTAATCTTACGCCAATTTGGTAGACGGCTAAAAATTAGACTGCTTTTATTATATTCGGCCGAATACCGAATATCTACATATTATTCGGCCGAATACCGAATACTTAAATAATATATTTTGTCATAGAGAAATAATTGGTAAAATGAAAAATTAAAATCGATTGATTACGTATATATTCATATTTTCATTTCTGTTTTATAATCATTTAGGTAGTCATTGGAACAGAACACAGGTACATAATCATTTTCTGAATTGGAAAAAGTACAGAACACAGGTACATAATCATCTTCTGAATTGGAAAAAGTACAGAACACAGGTACATAATCATCTTCTGAATTGGAAAAATGAAAGATTCTATGTATTTGAATTATTGTGGTAATCAAAATTTAGAAGGGTAAGGTTCTCATTTATTTTATAATCATTTATTAAGTAGTTATTGATACATAAAACAGGTACATAATTTTAACATTTTCTGTATTAAACAAGTTAACAGTTTTTAATTCATTCAGTCATGTGATGAATGGTTACATAATAGCAATAATTTAAAATTTACGCGCCGTTTTTGGCCATATCTCAAAAGTTGGTTTTGTCATTTAGCCGCATTTTAGCCTGAAGACGGCAGATTAGAACAAAACAAAGGAGCGCGAAACAATCACGTATGTACAAGTTTTTGGCACTAAAATCCAGCCGAATACTTTTGCCTAATATTCGGCTATTCGGTCAGGGGCCTCGCCGAATATTCGGTATTCGGTATACTGCCGAATATACGTTGCAAGTCTACTAAAAATCCAAATGAATCTTAAAGTAAGAGTGAGTTTTTAGGTAATTTTATAATGAGCAAGAGAGACGAGTACGTAACGTTGTCGTGGCGTTTATGGAAACAATATTGACATTATCACATTTCTCTGTCAGCCTTCCACAATGATAATTTCGTTTCGGGAAACTTTCTCATTGATCATATTAATTCTAAGAAACAACGTGAATATTTAATCTTTACTTTTCTTTGTCAAAAGAATTCCTGTAATTTAACATTGACTAAAATTCTTATTATAATATACTTTTCAATAAAGTTTTCCTTCCACAATTACAATAATTAATAATAATTGTTTTATATTGTATTGTACAATAAAAAAAATACTTAGCCTTATTACTAATACTAGCGATTCCTGTAAAAAACATATTTTTTAAACAAAAATTATATCCGGGAAACGGTTACTTTTGTACACCATCTTTATATATATAATTCTTCTGTGAGTGTGTATGTCACTGAACTTCTCTTAAACGACTGGACCGATTTTGATGAAATTATTTGTGTGTGTTCAAGGGGATCTGAGAATGGTTTAGATTCACAAAGACGTGTAGACAGGACAACGTCTGTCGGGTCCGCTAGTATACATATAAAGCCCTATACCACAGCGGTGACACTTTCTTTACGTGAGAGTTCCATCGTCAGTGACCTTGAGCTGGAGCGTGTATGCGCTAGGGTTGAACCGAACTTGAATTTAGACTTGTGCTAATGAATATTTATGCATAGTAAGTTATTAAATGTAAACTGATTCAAGGATACTGGGGTAAGTAATGCAGGATAGGTTTGATTTTATAATCAATTTTTAATCTTTTAATGTAGGTACTATGACAAATTGCTAACTTTTATATATTTTCTCCTTCTTCGATTCGTTTTATAATTCTTATTATTATCTAAATAATAATAAGATTGCGTAGCGTAGTCAGTCTGTGCGTGCAATGCAGTGCAACGCTATTTTTTTACTATTTCGCTACTGCCATGCTCTCGGTCGAGGCAGTCGGCGACTGCACTCTCCACGCATACACGCTCCTCGAAAACATTTATCATAAAGTACTGATTCAAAAAATTTACACAGACAGTGGCAAAAATGACAGGACGTCTAGTATCAGCGGCTGCAAGTGCTGCGAGGGGTGGTGGAAGCCATATAAAGACATTATTATTTACACATATTTTGATAACTGCTTTTAAACTTATAGCAACCACAAATAGATACGTGAACTGGTAGTATAACAAAAAAAGTGACCAAGTGCAAGTCGGACCCGCCCATGAAGGGTTCCGTAGCAGAAAGTAACATAATATAAAAGTTCTTGTAGTTCGTTGTAACTTTGATCGATGTTTTAATAATAATGTATTTATTTTAATTAAAAGTTATTGATAAGTAAACGTTATGGTTCACGGTTTATGTTAATGAAATTAAATGTTTTTTTTTTTTTTATTTGAGTTGATTGAATGAAAGTTAAATTGCGGTTTACGATTTATGACATATTAAAAATTACTACTAGATAAACAACTACTAGATCTCGTTCAAACCAATTTTCAATGGAAATTTGCATGGTAATAAACATCATGTATTTTTTTATACCATTCTCTTATTTTAGAAGTTACAGGGGGGGGGGGGCAAAATAAGACAGACAGACATGACGAATACATAAGGGTTCCATTTTTTGCCATTTGGCTACGGAACCCTAAAAAAATGTTAAACGGCCAAGACTAATAAGCATAGGTATTGATTTTTGTCATAAACAGCTGTCTTATAAACAATTTCAATTTTGCTACTTACCTCAGCAGCGATGTAAGCAGGTATAACTGACAGCAGGAGTCTCTCCTGCGCCTCCCTCTCGCATTCCAGCTTGACCCGTTGCTCCAAACAAGTCCTGGTGCCAGCGAAAGTGTTCCTGTGGGCTCGCTCCGTTAAAGCCCGGTAGTATACTCCAATCCCGGATGCGGAGAGAAGGAGCGCCAGCTCGCAGACCAACTGAGGATAAAATAGGAATAGATAGTTAATCGCATGCCAAGAACATAATGTGATTTGTTTCAGTACCCCTAGCACGAACCATTATCGAATCCGAATAGTTTGCAAACCAAAATGTCAATGTCAAATTTTGTATGGCAACTTGAACAGCAGCGGCACAAAGTACGTAACGAGAACTAAAAATCAGTACACATTTGACAATGACATTTCGGACTCGCAAACGATAAGAATTCGATATTGGTTCGCGCTAGGTGTACTGATAACTTTAAACTTGCGAATCAGCATGTCGATTCTGTAGTAGAATCTCACTTACGATCTCATTTATTCGGTTTGACAAATGTCAAATATCTTTACTGGCTAATCGGATGCATTTTTGGGAAATTTCTTCATACTTTTATTGCGTCTTTATCATCGCAGCAGCGTGTAACTTCATAGCTGTCCTGAATCCTAATACATAATGTACTAAAACAGTACAGCAGTCTGTTTTTAATACATTATGTATCAGAAATACATAATGTACTAAAAACAGATATCGCAATAACGCATCCAATATTATCGGCCGATAATAACGCACCTATCTCCATAAGCTTCAACCTCGGAAAGCTTGAGAAACTCGGGATGTCCTGAACATTTCTTGTGACATTTTGCTATCCAATACAAACTAATGTCTAAAATGGCAGTCATCGGATTCGGGAGTAAGATTTTATTTAATTTTAAGCAAACACAATGCTGATTGGAAGTTTTATTTTCCATAATGAAATTGCATTCCATTTTGTACATATCTGCCACACAGTACAGCAGTTTGTCGGCAGTTTGCTTAAACTTATAAACTTATTTTTCTTTATAAATAACTAGCGGCCCGCCCTCGCTTCGCTTCGGTGTAGAACTGAAGTGTAGACTACAGTTTTTGTTCTCAGGCTTGTATTATACACAATGACATTCATCTATGATTCTTCTTATACCTGCATGCAAAGTCTCAGCCCGATCGGTTTAAAATTGACAAAGTTTCATACAAACTTTCATTCCCTATTTTATCCCCTTGGGGGTAGAATTGATCAAAATCCTTTCTTAGCGGATGCTTACATCATAACATCTACCTGCATGCCAAATTTCAGCCCGATCCGTCCAGTGGTTTGGGCTGTGCGTTGATAGATCACTATGTCAGTCAGTCAGTCACCTTTGAGTTTTAAATATATGTATGTATTTTGATTATGATAAAAAACGGTTCTGATGAATTAATTTTTGTTATGAGCGGGTTGGCGACAATGTACCTTGTTTATCGAGGACGATATTTCGGAATTGTTGCATGCAAGCGACATGATCCCGTAGCAATAACTCCTAATGAAAAAAAATACTGGAATTTAACTCAACACCTTTGTCAAAATATTTAGCTTGGCCTATTCGTTACTGACTAATGAGTATAACAGAACATAAGAGCAGTGGATACATTTTTCTCTTTACGCCCATGTGAATATAGCGCAATGGCCAAGTCACATTTGTTGACGAGGTGTAGAGTTTGAAGAGTTAGGTCTTGTTGTTTTTTTTTTATAGTTCTGCTTCGTCTGTCTTGAGTCAGAGACATCATAATATCTTTATATTTTATTTATCTATCTGTCTTTTGTAATATTTATCTATTTTTTTTTAGTATTGTATTTCTGTTTTTGCCGTATTTTTATGTTGTATTTTATATATTACCGTGAATTAGCTTTTGTTTCTCTCGATTGATTGCTGCTATTTTGGCTATATATTTAAAACTTTGTTTCTTGTTGTTTTGTTTTCTATCAGCTCAGGTATTTTATTTACTTTAATACTTTGTTTTATTATATTGCAGGTTCAATCTACTTAGCTGGTGTTTAGGACACTCTGTTATCATGCGCAGGATTGTTACTTCAGTACCTGACTGACAACTTAAATTTACTATGAAGATATTGCGCAAAGGCCCCATCAAACAACCAGTCCTATAAATGCTTGGCATATTATGGGGCTGGGTTGTAGCGTTAAAAGCTTGGCTCTAAATGAGGTCTAATACTTTTTGACTGTGCGAGTTATATGGTCTCGTCTTCGCAACATTTTATATGAAAATGTTTTTTCAAAATTTTACCATAAAATCTTTTGACGTTCACAACAAAGCTAATATTTGCTTATGTCAATACTTAACCATCTTTCAAATGCGTCGTAGCCATAACTTCATGTATCTAATAAGAAATACATCCAATTATAACTGGATTTTCTGCAGTTCTATTCTTTTTTCCCTTGTAACAACCTTATTTCTCGCACTATTAAGTGCGAACGCAAACATTCGAGAAAGGTCAGAACATGCAATACATAGACAGATTGCCAGTAATCAATTACTTCCACATATTTCCAAAACTAAAGCTATTTCTTTTTTATTGGTACTGTATCATATTAGTTTAATTTTAAAACAATGTTACGCTCAGATTGTATAAGTATGTTATTTGCGTACATAAACACCAATTAAAAGTTTTTTCATCGTAGAAGGTATATTTATCGTGAACAAATGTACATTGCAATCATCATTCATATGTCGTAAAAAATTTTTTTTTGTAGTCTTTTTGACACCAGCCTATTATTATTGTCTCCGCCGCTGAGGCACAGGCCTTCCTTAAGGGTGAAATACGGAGATTGGGCCATGATAACACACCACGCGGACTCAGTGCAGATTGGTTGGTGCTAATGACTGCAGAAGCACCTGGAACCAACGGCTTGACGTGCCTTCTGAAGCACGGAAGTTTTGGTCACCCATCCAAAGACCGACCAATGTGGAAGTTGCTTAACTTCCACGATTGCAGGCCGAATGCACTTACCACCTGCGCCATTGAGCTTCCTTTGATGTCCATAAGAAGAAATTATTCTTTCACCTCTGATCTTAAATAGGAAATACGTTATCTTCATTCAAAGGTTTTCCCAGAGCATATTTAGTGAATTATTTTCATGTGTAAAGTAGGCTATTTTGAAAATCATTCCACTGAAGAATATCGAAGTAGCTTTTCAGGGATCGACGCTTCCAAAGCCGCTTATTTGAAATACGGCATCAGTGTGTAAGATTCCCGCTTCCTCATACCTAATAAGTATTTACGCCAACAATTTTCCGTTTCACGCCTCGCACCAGCAGATTTGGTAGCGCTTTTATGCGAAATTGCCTATGATAAAAGATCAGTCTCTTTTACTTGTCGCTTATCTAGCTATTTATGATATTAAACAACGGAATTTATAACATATTATAAATTCCGTTACTCTCTCATAAGAGGAGGATCTATTTGGGGAAGTATGCACCTTACAGAAGACTAAGCAAATAAACTTAAATGTATTGTTAATACAATAATTATTAATAATTAATATTTATGATTTTATTTTATTTTATAAGCATTTAACTGCTAGATGTTTTAAAGTCCCGTCCGCTGCCTGGTCCGCGTGGATTTCTTTTCTAGTAAACTTTTCTTTAGATTTAAAATAATTAATATTGTTATTTATTATTGTGGAGTGCGACTAGGGTGATGTAATGGAAGGTGACTTCAGACGTATCTCTTTCGACGACTTTTCACTTCATTTTCATTTTCAGTGTACACTGTTTTAGCGTACACCAAATTTTATTAAAAGCGCTTCAGCGTACACTGTCATTGACAATGACAGTGTACGCTAAAACACTCATAGTCATAGTCATAGTCATAGTCATAGTCATAGTCATAGTCATAGTCATAGTCATAGTCATAGTCATAGTCATAGTCATAGTCATAGTCATAGTCATAGTCATAGTCATAGTCATAGTCATAGTCATAGTCATAGTCATAGTCATAGTCATAGTCATAGTCATAGTCATAGTCATAGTCATAGTCATAGTCATAGTCATAGTCATAGTCATAGTCATAGTCATAGTCATAGTCATAGTCATAGTCATAGTCATAGTCATAGTCATAGTCATAGTCATAGTCATAGTCATAGTCATAGTCATAGTCATAGTCATAGTCATAGTCATAGTCATAGTCATAGTCATAGTCATAGTCATAGTCATAGTCATAGTCATAGTCATAGTCATAGTCATAGTCATAGTCATAGTCATAGTCATAGTCATAGTCATAGTCATAGTCATAGTCATAGTCATAGTCATAGTCAGTAGTAGTCAATGTTTGTTTTCATTTTCATTTCACCAACTTTTTTTCTTTTTTTCTATGGTATATTATGGTACTGTAACGTCCGAGACGTTATAACCTCCTTGTCCATCCGTCCGTCCATCCATCTTTGCTTTTGCGATGCCTACGGTTGGCAGTTATCTATATATATTAAAAAGTTAATGTCATGATTTTAAGATTTGAAATAAGGAATCGTCTGTCTTTTGATAGAAGGTTCCATTGATGATTAGATCTTCAGGCACCAAGAATTCCTCTCGTATTTAGATAAAATACTTTTATATTAGCCTGAATGATAAAACAAAATAAATAACTTATCTCTATCAGTATCTTTCAATTAACATCTACGTCCCCAGGTTCTATCCCTTCTGCCCCGGCTAGGCCGGGAGGCTGCTGGGTGCGGAGACGCGGAAGAATCCCTAAACGGGGATCCCGCGGTTTCGCACTAAGCAGCTTAGAGGGTATTCGCAGGACTTTTTTAGCGGATATTATACCGTAAAGCGCCCGTAAGAGTTGCGGGGTCCTCGGTGGGCAGCCACTGTGGGGTTCGTAAGACTTGCGGGAGCCAGGTGTGAGGTCCGTTCGGCGGTGTGCCTCTTAAAGGCGCCATCGTCTGTAAATAGATTTTTTACCTGCGTATTAAAAAAAAAAAAGCTTCTATCCCTTCTGGGTAGAACTCTACATGGTGGACGCGCCGCGTTGATTCTAATACCGCGAGTGAAGTATATTTTTAAATCAAGAAAGAAATAGTTTTAAAAAGATGGAGACCAGGACCACATTTGACGGAAAAGGTGATGTAACCGATTTCTTTCGTCAATTTAATATCATCGCCGCCATCAATAATTTCAACGAGGATAC